CCGCACTTGTCTCAGACCTGGGCCGGGACGGGGCAGGGGTGAGTTGGGGTGGGGTGGGGTGGGGTGGGGACAGGTTGGGGCCATCTGTCGGTCAGGCCTCCCGCACCAACCCGAGGCTGAAAGTCAGGGAGGGCAGCAGGGGAGGGAGATCTCTGGCACTGGGGACCTAAAGTAAATACTAATTTAACAACAGCGGCCGGGCTAGTGAGCTGCACACAGAACAGTATCTCCAATAGCCCGTTCTGCAGAGGGAGGCGCTGAGGCTCGTGTTGGTGGCTTTGCTGGGCGTCCTCAGATGGGAGGGTCAGTGCCTGTGACCTTGGGCTCCTCCTCTGGGCGCTGCTGGTCCAGGGTGGGGGTGCAGAGGGTGCCCTGGTGGCCTCAGCGCTGGACAAGGGAGCTCTGGCAGTGACTGAAGGGGTCAAGGGCTGCCTCTCAGGGTTCATCTTGGGCAGCTTCATCAGAGCACGAATTTTTTGTCCCCATCCTGGGTGGCCCCGGTAGAACACCAGTGGTTACATCTACTCACACGCACACCGGTACACTCACACTCACCTGTGCCTGAGCACACACTTCCGTGTGCACCGCCCCCCTCACGCACGCACATACTTCACGCCATTTGTGCACATATTTACACACACTTGCATTAACACACACACACACCAGCTCCAGAGAGGGGTTGGCTGGTGGTCCCTTAGCCAACCCTCCCAGGCCTGGAGCACCCCAGCGTCTGAAGCACACCCTTGGGCATATGCCTCCTCCTCCCTCCTCCTGCCATTGGAGATGGCCCCATAGGATGACAGATTTGAGGCAGGGGACTGGGGTGGGGCTGAAGGCCTCTTGCAGGACAGGGGCTGGGCTGCCAGGCGGGGTGCCCCCTGCCAGGTAAAGCCTGGGTGGGGGTGGCCTGGGCCTGGGCCTGGTGTGGGCAGAGCTGGGTGTGACCTGAGGCTTAGCTCACACGCGCTGGGTGAACTTGGGTGAGATGCTTCACCTGCGCGGCTCGACTTTTCACCTGTTAGCTGCGGATTAAACAATCACCTGCGGTAACTGCTATGCAGACTAGTGAAATAATACAGGCAAAAAGGACGGACTCACGGTGGGTACTTAAGGATAAACTTAAATAGTCTGCCCTGGGTATCTGTGGGATCTACATTTCCTTGGCGTCAATCACCAGCAAATTAAAAATATCCAAAACCAAAAAATGAATTTGTACTGCATATACACTGAATTTTTTTTTCCTCTTGTCTTTTCTCCCCCTTTGGTGGTATGGGGAGTGAGCTTCCCCAGCTATTCTTTTTATTTTTTAGGACGAGGTTTCATTATATTGCTAAGTTGCCCAGGCTGGGCTCAAACTTGTGATCTTTCTGCCTCAGCCTCCCGGAGTGCTGGGATTATAGGCATGCATCACCATACCTGGCTTCTCCTTGTCTTTGTTCCGTGCACAATACAGGGTAACAATTATTTGTAGCATTTAACCTAGAGATGATTTGAAGTATACAGGATGTAGCTTGTAAGCAAATGCTATGCTGTTTTATATATGCATGTATCTTTGGATGGTGGGGGTCTTGGAACTAACCCCTTGTGTGCTCTGATGCAGAATTGTAGTAGTTTATTTTGTTTTTTTGAGACAAGATTTCGCTATGTAGTCCAGGCTGGTTTTGAATTCACTATGTAGCCCAGGTTGACCTTGAGCTCATGGCGATCCTCCTGTCTCAGCCTCCTAAATGCTGGGATTACACACATGTGCCACCATGCCTGGCTCAAGGGGGACCCTAAGAGTGACAGCAACACAAATCTGTTGCACTGTTACCTCACCCAGCTTCCTACATGCAGGGGAGGTGGGAGCCCCCACTTAATGACATGTATGAAGGGCCTACTGTGTGCCAGTGGAAGGAACCAGAAGCACCTTTGAGTGAGCACCATGTCGGTTGCAGCTGCTCAGAGTCCCCCGTGCTCTGCCCTCCAAGTCTGGCCTTGCCGAGGTGGCTCTGTGGGGACCCAGGCTGGGGAGGCGAAAGTGTCCTTTTTCCCATTCCTGGCGCGGAGTGGCTGGGTCTGGCTTGGAGGAAGAGCTCTGACTCACCATGACGCAGGACACTCCGTCACAGCTGCTGGCAGCCCGACAGCTCGGGGGAACAGGGGACAGAAGGGGACCCCTGCGGAGAGGACAGGCAGCTCACAGGGGAGGGGATGGCTGTATATGTAGGCTGAGACAGGAGCAGGAGGGTAGATGAGGCTGAGCAGGGGCCCCTGAGGGCCACTGTGTCACCAGCTGGGGTGGGGGGTAGCTGGGGTGGCAGGGTGTAGCTGGCCACCCCTTTGGTGCCTCCAGTCCGCAGTGCTCATGCAGGTCAGCTCCGTGCCAACCCAATCTCTCAGTGTACACACTGGTACTCAGAGAGGGGCGGAGGTTTGCCAAGGTCACACAGCAAATCAATGGCAGAATGAGGACTAGAACTCAGGCCTCCTGCCCGTCAGCCCAGACCTGGCGCCAGCCTGAGCCTGGGCCCTGCGGGGGCGGGCGCTCCCTCCTTGCGTGTCCACATTCACCTTCCCAGTCCTTGGAGTTCTGCTGAAGCGGACGATGTCCAGACAGCTCTGAGAAGCGTGGCTGTCCTCCGGGGCGGGCTGCCCTCTCCCAGCTCATCCTGTCTGCCCCACGACTTCCCTGCCTTCCCCGTGCCCTCTGGCCTCAGGAAGGGAAAGCCAGGCCACGCCCTTCCCACCTGGCTTCCCGTTCTCTCTCCCCCCGGGCTCCGCGTCCTGGGGCCCCTCCCGCAGGCTGCCCACTTGCCCCTATTTATTCGTGTTCGCTCAGTAGCTCTGAAGGCCAGCGCTGTTCTGGGCACTGGAGCGTGGAGAGGGACGCTGCAGGGCCTCGTCAGAGAAAGCTTGATCAGGTCCGCTGGAGCCGCCACGGGATGGTCAGGCCAGTGCCTGCCAGGCATGCTGGGGGCGGGGCGGGGACGCGTCCGGAGCCACTGTGCGCACTGCTCAGGGTCAAAGCTGACGGCACTGGGTCCCCTGCCAGTGCGTGAGGAGGGCCTTCTGCTGAGGGTCGCGGGGACAGCCTCAAGGCAACACTGACCCTGAAAGCGCACTTCGAAGGCTGGGTGGGGTGTGGACAGGCGCTCTGTGCATGAGGGTTTGGAGGCTGGGACATCTCAGGGCATCTAGGGCACTGGCATCTAGGGGACAGTGGGCACTAGTTCCCTTGTCAGACCTCCAGCGCCCCCTAGGAGGCTAGAGGCTGCCAAGCAGAAGAGCGAGGTGCCGGGCAGCCGGGGTTTGGGTCCTATGTCCAGAATGTGTCGCAGGTGCTCAGTGAGTGTTGATTGAATGCAAGGGAACAAGACTCAGCAGAGCGTGGTGGCGCACGCCTGTAATCCCAGCACTCAGGAGGCTGAGGCAGGAGGATCATTGCAAGTTCGAGACCAGCCTGGGCTGCAGAGTGAGCTCAAGGCCAGCCTGAACTGCATAGTGAGACCCTGTCTCAAAAAGACAGAACGAGAAAAAAAAAAAAAGAGAACAAGTCTCAGCCAAGGTCCCACATCTGGGAAGTGGTCACAGCCAAGGCGGAGTCAACCTTGCATTCATGCAGCACACACTTGAGGAGCACTGATGGGTGCTGGGTGCTGTGTGGTGCTGAGATGATGCTGGAGCAAGGCAGGCAAGGGGACTGCACAGTGCAGGTGGGGGAGGCTGATGTTGATCCAGCGATGACCCAGGTTCCCTAAGAACCACGGCGTGGAAGTGCTAAGCAGCCCTTAAGAGTCAGAGAGGGAACATCCTAGAGCCCGGCAGACTGAGCCCACAGCCGCGGGATGAGGGGGCGTGGCCAGGCAGAAACAGGGAGGGGCTGCTGGGCAGAGCACAGCCCAGGCGGAGGCCTGCGGTGGGGTCTCACACGAGGAGAGGGCTTGGACTGTCAGCAGGGAGCCCATCCTTTTCCTCTCTGCGAAGTGTACTGCCATCTGTCACTCTGTGTGTGTGTGTGGGGGGCGTTTCTCTGGAGTGGGGGCCTTCCCAGGAGCCCCAAGAAGGAAGGCCACAGGCTGACCTCAGTGTGGCCACTCTCAGCTGGACAGTAGATCTGATTGCCACCGGCCCTCACCCCCAGGACCACCAGCTGGAGGGACCTGCTAGGGTAGGGACAGCGAGATACGGGGAACCCTTGGTGTGCTTGCAGGAGGCAGAGACTGCAGGGAGGAGACACCTGCTGTGCGGGCCCTGGGACACAGGGAGAGACCAGCCCTGCCCCGGGAAGCCTCTGCCTGCGGAGCAGAGGGGGACACTGAGGTCTTCTCCAGCCTCCTGGCCCAGGACTCAGAGGCTGGCGTCCTGCCTCCCAGGTGTCGGGGTCTCTGCAGGCCGGAAGAGGCCCCTGCTAGAACAGAGGTGAGGAGGCAGAGCGGGCGCCCCAGCGGACTGTGAGTGTCATGCCTCGGGTGGCCACCACGGGGCAGCCTGAGACAGTGCCATCCTTCCCTGCCTTCATTTCCCCTCCTCCCTCAGCTAATTGACCCAGAAAGTACCACGCTGGCAACTCAGACCGGGCCAGGGCTGTGCACACCACACCCTGCGCAACGGGAGGGGATCGACTCCGTGCTGGAGCTCTCATGCGGGGCGACTTCTGCCCTAGGACAGGGCTTGGGTCTCAGCACCAAGGTGGCATCTTCCCTGAGCTGTGCCCTGCAAGGGCTCTTCTGCCCTGAGGGGAGGCCTTTTCCTGCTTGGCACAGTCTCCGAGAGGTTGGACTCTGCGGTGCCTGGTCCTGACTCCCACTGTACAGATGTTAGGAGCAGGGCTGGGGATTTAGCTCAGCGGCAAAAGCGCCTGCCTGGCAAGCGCAAGGTTGTGAGTTCGATTCCTGGTACCGGAAGAAAAACAAAACAAAAAACAAACAATAGATGTTAGGGGCACAGCTGGGACTGAACCCTGAAGTGGGACTCCATGCTCCAATCTGGAGGGCTCAGATGCTAAGAGCTACTTCTGGAAACTGGGCCCTGCCAACGGTTGGAGCTTTTAGGGGAGCCTGAGAAACTTTGGAATGTGTCTACTCCCAGGTCCAGCTGTGGGGGTGGGGGCCTCCAGCCCGAGTCGAGGCAGAGCCCTTTCCAGACCCTGGCTGGGCCGGGTAGGATAGAAAGGGGCAGAAGGCAAATTCCCAGTCTGATGGGGGAGACATCAGAGAAACATCAAATCACACAGAGGAGACAAAGCCACCCCAACAGGCCCTGTTCTGAGCGCAGGGGACACTAAGATGAGACCAGGGCTGCACAAGCAGTGAAATGCTCCCCACAAGGCCATGCCACACACTTCCATCCTGGAGTCCTACCAAGAGGTGTTACCTGTCTCCGTCCCTCACCGCACCTTCAAGTGGTGCCTGCAAGGTGTTAGCCACCCAAATGATAGGATGCGGCTGATAGAAAACAGGTAAGGCCCAGCTGCCTTGGAGACTGAAGCTGGTGTCTGTGGCAAACCATGGCCCTCAGCTTGTTCTTATAAATAAAGTTTTATTTAAACATATCTGCATTCATTTGTTTGCCTGTTGCATATGGCTGCTCTGCCCTACAACTGTGGAGCTGTGACTACAGAAAAATTTTGGCGATGCCCAATTTAGAGTCTGGCAGAGAGGAAATAAAGAAATTGAACAAATAATGAGCCACTCCAGGCAGGGCACAGCAGGACATACGTTTGAGACCTGAGGTGAGACTGACAATTTCTTTGTTTTGTTTTGAGACAGGGTCTCGCTTTGTAGTCCAGACTGGCCTTGAACTTCTGGTGATCCTTCTGCCTCAGCCTCCCGTGTGCTGGGATTACAGGCATGTGCCACCACCCAGGCGGCTGACCATTTCTTGTCACTTCCATCCTCGGTACCCGGAGCAGGTCGGCCAGGCAGCATGGGGCAGCACATGACGGCTGGCCCTTGTGAGGGTCACACCATGCTGGAGTCCTCTCCTGGGTTGATCCTTGCATCAGATAGGGCTGATGTGCTCATCTTTCCTTACCTCCTCCCCTGGCCCCACACCTGGTAGTGAGTGTTTCCCAGCCTTTGGGGTCTGTCCATTCTTGGCTGCACCATGCACGTCCTGGGAGGCAGGCAGGGGGCGGGAGTGCTTCTTTTTTTCAGATGCAACAGAGGCACGCCGTGTGTGATGAGTTGGCCCAGGCTTGTCCCACGTCCCTGTAGGCCTTGATGTTGTGGGAAAGTCCCGGACGGTGCTCAGGACCCCAGGGTGCTAGTCCAAGACTCATTCAGGCACGTCTTCGCCCCTCCAGGCCTCCATGCATTCCTCTGCGCTCGAGAGGGTCAGGCGCATGGGGCTGTAAGACCTGCCGGCCGCACGCTGGGGCTCGCCCGGACCCTCTGCAGGCCTTGGTTTGCCTCTGTAAAATGGGGAGATGAATGAGGGGCCCTCCCACACTCTCAGGGTTGGTCCCAGGCCAGGGAGATCACAGGTGGGAAAGCCCTTTGAGCTGGGTGGAAGAAAGGAGTTCTATAAACCTAGGGGGTTATTAGGCGGGCCATCCCGGTTCAAGCAGGGCTCTCCGCCCATGGACGGCAGTGGGGTCTGGCCAGCAGAGGGCACTGCAGGGAAGTCCCGTGGATCCCAAACTGGAATCCACTCGGTTCTTCCAAGAACACCTGCTGGGACCCTGTGGAGCACCAAGCCTGTGGTGCAGGGCGTGGGGACATGGGCATGAACGAAGGGAACCTGAAATGTCCCAGTGCAGTGGTGAGGGCGGGCACGTGTGGACGGGGTCTTAACCCAGATCGAGACAGGTGCTAGGGTGGGCACTAGGCGGGCACAGGGACCTCCTTGCCCTGGGACAAATGTCTGTGCTGGAGATCCAGGAGAGCAAACGGGGAAGTCAAGCCTGTGGGCTCCCAGGCCTAACTGCCTGGGATCAAATACTGGTTCCGTCACCCAGAGGCAAGTCACGACCGCTCTCTGGGCTGCAGGGTCCTCACCTGTAAACTGAGAGGGATGATCGCCCTCCCTCCCAGAGCTTCCGTGAGGACCAAATGACCTAATCCTGGGTAACCCTTCTTAGAACAGGGCCTGGCCATGGAAACCCTCTCCTGTCCTCGTTCTGGCCCCTGTCACAGTCTAAGTGTGACGGCGAAGCTAGGCGTGGTGGTAATGCCTGTAATCCCGGCACTCTGGGAGGCGGAGGCAGGAGGATTACAAGTTGGAGCCTAACCTGGACAATTTCGTGAGACCCTCCCTCAAAATAAAAAGGCTGGCTCAGTGAGAAGGCCCTGGGTTCAATTCCTAGTACTGTGCTGAAAAAAAAAATGCAGCAGCAGAAGCCACAAGCGGTTCGTGTCCACTTGGGGGGCACGGTGAGGACAGGGCAGGGCTGCCTGAGGTGAGAGACGCTGGCTGAGAGTTTGGGGAGGGATCTGAAGGAAAAGGCCTCTCACCCTGCATGGTGCTGTTGAGCCCCTCCAGCCGCTCCTTGACTGTAGGCCTCGGGCGTCTCCTAGCCTTGGTTTCTCCTTCTGTAGAATGGGTGATAGCCCCTGCGTGACAGGGCTATGAAAGGTCCCCAGGCTGGCCGGGTTTGGGAGGAGCGTGCATGCAGGGCTCTTGGCCCCGTGGAGGGGCCGGAACTGGCTCTGTCCCACAGCCACCAGCCCTTTTGTTTAGAAAACCAGTCTAAGAGGAAAACCCCCAAAACAAACAGAGCCCAGCTGCCTCCCTGCCAGCCCTGCCCTGCCCTGCCCTACCCACTCTGCCTTCCGAGCCCAAGAAGCAGGCGGGGTGTGGGCGGGAAAGGCCAGGTTCTGGGAAAGTGTCCCCACAGAGGTGTGGGAGGGATCAGGTGACCGAGCGGGGGTCTCCTCTCCAAAGGGTGGAACAGGATCAGGATCCTGTGGGTCCCTGAGTTCTGCTCCCCAACATCCATGACCCTGACTCCCCACCTTCCGTAAGTCTGAGTCTCCCAGGAACAGGTGACATAGGAGGTCCCCCAACTGGGCTTTGAGACCTTCTAAGGAGACAGAAGCCAACCTGGGGAGAGGCCTAGGTGGAGGAGGTGGGCTCCAGGACAGGCCCTGTCCACAGTGGAAATGTGGAAGTCAGAAGAGCAAGGGAGTCAGGCATGGTGGCTCACACCTGTAACACCAGCACTCAGAGGCTGAGACAGGAGAATCTCTTCAAGTTCAAGGCTAGCCCAGGCTACATAGTGAGTTCAAGTCCAGCCTGGCTGCATAGCAAGACCCTGTCTCAAAAAACAAACAACAACAACAAAAAGAAGTGCATGGAACAGGGGGAGGGCCTGAGACACACAGAGGAGTACCACAATTCCAGCCAAAATAAAAATCCTAGCTGGTGGATAAAAATCCGTGGTGGTGCATGGCTATCATACCAGTGCTCTGGAGGCTGAGGCAGGAAGATTGCCATGAGTGAGAGGCCAGCCTGGGCAACCTAGTGAATTCAAGGCCAGCCTGAATTACATACGAAGACCCTGTCTCAAAAAACTAAAAGTAAATAAATAATGAATAAATAAGTTCTAAGCACTCTGCACCTCCCCGTACATACCTCTTCTGTACAACCAGCCAAAAAAGTGGGGATTCCTCTGAGGGCCATTGTTCAGGGATTAAACTGAGGCTCTGGGGGCGCGCAGCATGCCGGGACTTGGATTCTATCTGCCAGAGAAAGTACGATATTGCAGTAGCACTCGTGACATAGGCTCTGCGTGGGAGGGGTGGACAATGGGTCAGCTAAGGCTTTGCTAGGTCTGGTCCCTCCGGGCCTTAAGCCTCAGTGACATTCCAGGGCCTGGCTGGGGCAGGAAGGTCTCGGGGCTGAGCTGGAAAAGAGCGCTGGGCTGTCCGGGGCGGGGCCGAGGCGTGGCGGAGGCCGGGCCGCAGGGAGGCAGGCACAGACTCAGGGCCACAGACTCCCTGGCTCTGTCCATCCTCCGTGGGCCTGAAGTCCCTTTCGGCTCTCAGAGCCTCTCAATCTCCTACATCTCTCCTCCTTGCTGGGCCCTGTCCCCCGTGTGCCCTCCGCACAGTACCCCATTTCCTCCTGTTTCTCCACCAAAACCCAAGCTGGGCCTCCTGGGAAGAGGAGGGAGCTGCAGAGTGACAGTGGCTTGCTGAGTGGAAGAGAGTCAAATGCACTGTGGCCAAGGGAGCGAACCTCAATTGTCTTGACGCAGGTGGCCGCGAGGCCATGGGCTTGCTGGGCCTGGTGTGGACTCCATGCTCAGGGAAAGCGCGCTGGGACTGGTGATGACCTCTCCCGGCCTTGTCTCACCCCCTCACTTCTCACGTGGGAACCCTAGGCTCAGAGAGGGTGTGGGCCCTGTCGTGGGTCACACAGCGCCTGAGAAGCTGGGCTGGCGCCTCCCCAGGGTGGATCCCTGGGGCAGCTCCATTGTGCTCTCCCCAGCAGGAAACCGCTGCGCTCAGCAGCCCGGGCCACAGAGAGGAGGAACGGGTTTGGCTACGTGACGGGCAGGCCCTAGAGGCCGAGCCAGGCCGTGTGCCCGGAAAACAACCTGCTGGGTGGGCAGCGGGCGGAGGCCTCCTGGCCTGGAGCAGGGGAAGTGGCCCACGGGCAGCTTCCCTCGGGCTGGACGAAGGCCTCAAGGTCTGCGCCCTGAACCTGCCCTTGAGGGGGGCACATGGTGGGTGGCAAGGCCCTGGTGCTCACAGCCCCTGGTGACCTGCGCAGGATCTTGTAGGCTTGACAGCTCCGGACGGCAACCCCAGGGGAGGGAGGCTCAGCAGGTCCTGGGCAAAGGGGCCGAGCCCCCACGGGGCGTCTCAGCAGGAGATTTGGTGCATGCAGAGCCCTCTCCAGGCCCACAGGCTGACTTGGGACTGGCCAGCCAGGAGGGAGACTGATTAGGAGAAGGCCCTGCAGCTCAGCTGGGGACCACAGGGAGGACCTTGAATGCCAGACCCACCAGGAGGCCAGGGGGAGCCACCCCGGAAGGCTGCAGCCCAGGGCCGAGGTGCTGGAAGGGGCCAGGCTGGAGGCTGGAGGCCAGAGGGACGTGGGTAAAACCCAGATGCCAGACAAGGCCACACTTGGGCATGAGCAGGGCACTGGGAGGAGGGAAGGGGAGGAAGGTTTAATGGAGGACAGCGGGTGATGGGGGAAGACAAAGAAAGGGAAGGGTGACCCAGCCTGGCAGAAGCACACATCTGCAATCCCAGGACTAGGGGAGGCTGAGGCAGGAGGACTGAGAGTTTTCGAGTTCGAGTTATCCCTTGGCAACTAAGTATGTCTCAGATCCTCTGAGGATGCCCAGAGCGTAGCTGCGGGAGGAGGGTGCAGGGAACAGAGGCAGGACCATGCCTGGGTAGCACAGGGACAGCGAGGAAGCAGGTGTCCCACGGGACAGGGCCCAGGGCAGCCCCTGGAGCTGGAGACAGCTGGCACTGGGCAGAGCCTCAGCTGGGGGAGGCTGCTGATTCTGCCACCAAGAGCCATGGCTTAAGGAAATGAAACTCGGGATGAGAGAACCCCCCACCGACGTAGAGGAGCTGCCCCGAGCTGCGGTGGCTGCAGCCCTGAGCTTAGCTCTGAGCTTCCGCAGGTCACAGTCCCGCAAGCTGTGACTTCCTCCGTGGCCTGCGCTGTGGGGAGAGGCAGACAGGGCCGCTCGGAGCCTCCCCCGACTGGCCCCTCGTCTGTGAAATAGGCTCTCGTGGCACTTGCCCCATAGGCCGGTGCCAGGGATAAAGGTCCCTCGCAGGGTACGTGGCATGTGTGAAGTGCCCAGGATGTGTGGCTGCCAGTGGACGCTCTGGTCTCACGCAAGCGCTGAGAGACAGAAGCGGGAAACGGAGAAACGGAGGCTCAGAGAGGCTCGGGGACTGGCTCGAGGGCACCCTGCCATTCTAACCCCAGGCCTGGGTTCTCTGCGAGGGGACTGGGTTCTCCGGGTGAGCGGGGAGGTGGGTGTAAGGCCCACGTGCCCTCTGCTCAGTTTGAGGGCCAGAGGACCCACGCTTTCCTCCCAGCCCTCCCGGCCTCTCTTCCCTCCTCTCGCCCCTCCCAGAGGCGGCCCCAGAGGGGTCAAAGCGGCACCCAGGAGGCCGCTCTCTCTGACTCTGCCCCGTTCCCGTCTGCCGTGATTGTCCACGTCTAGCTTGGGTCCTTCCTGCTTTAGCCACCCCCCATTTCCCGCCCACTGCATTCTGGGCTGGAGATGGCAGCCAGCCTCAGTGATGCCCCATCCTTGCCCACTGATGTGGAAGGAGCACTGGCCAAGCCTGCGCAGAGGCGCCATCCTTTCTGGCCCAGGGGGTGGCCTGGTGCTCTGCCAGCCGGCCCTGGATGGGAACCCCAGTGCCTCCCCCTCAGCAGGGTTGCCACGGGTGCAGGGATACCGGACCGGAGTCGTCCTTTCTGCCATCCCTGTCAGTGCCCAAACCCAGCAGGGCCTGAGCCTTAAATGCCGACTGGAGCCAGGCAGAAGCCTGCCAGCCCGTTCTGCACACCTGGCCAGGTGAGCAGGCGATGCAGCCAGGAGCCAGCTCATCGCTTGGGTGTAAACAGCAGCCCACACTGGGAAGTTGGCAGCCTCCTCCTCCACCCGCTCCCAGCCCCCTCCCGGGAGCCCCGCCCGGGGGAAAGAGGGTGCCCCAACTTGTCGGAGGAGTTTCCCTCCCACACCTGTGCCCACAATGGGCGTGTGCGGGGGTGACTGCTGGGGGCCACAGAGAATCTTTGTCCTCCAGACCTGTTCCCCTCGCTGCTCCCCCTGGCTGGTGCTAGGGAGGTGCCAGGGCTCTTGGAAGGCTGAGGCCCCACCAGCTCACTTTGGCCGCTCGCTGCAGGGTCGGCCAGCAACAAAGCAAGGACTTCCTGTGCCCACAAGCTGGGACCTGTGCCCCTCAGAGGAAGGGTACTGCTCCAGCGTTTCCAGCAGGGGAAGAAAACAGGTCTCCACCAAGCTCTTGACCCAGTGACCCGATGCTCTGGCACCCAACTTTCAAGACGGGGAAACTGAGTCTAGATCACCAGTTGCAGGAGGGCATGGACCCTCTCTGCCTTCTTTGTCCCCAGTACACTGCAAGATCTCAGGGTGTACTTGTAGAGTGGACAAATGAAGCTCAGAGAGGGCAAGTGACCAGGCCGAGGCTACACAGCCAGAAAACATCTCAGCTGGGATTCAGCCCAGGGCCACCCACCAAGGTGGGGGTGTCACACACGCACACAGGAACGGGCGCCCACCCTGCTGCAGGACCGCAGACACGCTCCTAACCCCTGGGGATGCACCCATGCACACCCCAGCAGCACGCCCGCTGCCCACCCCTCCTTCCCGCCAGCTCCTGCAGGTACACAAACTTCCTTCTGCGCTGGTCTCACACCCTCCTCTGTCACCACCCCCTCCTCCACGCCTGCAGAAGCAGGACGGCACATGCTCCGGTCCACCCCCACAGCCCGGTGCCCTCTGCTACACTGGCGCTGCCCTGGGCCTCTCTGGAGGAGGCTTGCGAGGCACAGAATCGCAGCGCTAGGCCCCCCACAGTGTCTGGAGGGTGGCATGAGGCATTCAGCCTGCGGCGGTGACACTTGTGCCCAGCAGTGTCAGGGGGCCTGGCAGCTGGCGGGCAATTCCGGGAGCT